ATTGTCAAATCTAAACCAAACAATTATAAACAACTTATATATTGGGAACTTATTTATACAAGATAAGCTACCAAAATGAGGAGGCACACTACTTTATATTTCTTCCATATGTAGTGATTATGAAGATATAACAAATATACTTGCATGTATGTGAACACTTTTGAATGAGTTTCCTAACTGATATAAAAATATTTTGCTAAAAAAACCCTGATTTTATAGAATTGAAATGTATGCTCATATAACTGGAATAGACTTTAGTAGAGACACTAGTTCTTTACTTACTTAAATGCCTAGCTACCTGAAATCAGTGTGCGTGTGTCTGTGTGGCCTGACAGCTAAGGCATGTGCCTATGTGACTGCTTCAGTCTGTATCATTATCTGTGTCCTTTTGTAGTGACGGTAAACAAAGAGTTTCTTACCATTTAACAGAGAATTTACTGCTTGAAGTTTTTTGTTTTTAATCTATGGGCCATGATTCAGTTGGTGCTCATTCAGATACATGCATGTCTCACTCGCTGTCAGCATTTTTAAAAACACCCATGTGAAATCTTCAGTGTAGGATTGGTAAATGTGAAATACTATACTGTTCTATGCTCAGAAGTTTGGGTCTTTTTGGTAACATTTTCACTACATTATTTGACCTCATTTTGCAGAGGACTTTGACCAAAAGTCAGCATTAGTATTTTTTTTACCCTTTCCAACATTTTTGTACTGATTTTCAATACAGGGATATAACAAAAGATATTTTAAAATTATGTGTTTAGCATAAAAGCTTTTGCAATCACATATTGTTTTTGTTTTACCATTTTAGTGCTGCTCAATATGGCTCACACCAAGTGAATCATTCCAGCTCAAGGCTATGATAGATTGTTGATGTGTTGCTTTTAATACATGGAAGTCTATGTATTAGTGTATGTTATTTTTAAGTGGTGTAATCAGATAATGATGGGAAAGAAAGAAAACAAAATATGTCCAAATAAATGTGAATAATGTTAATGCTACAGTGCCGTAGCAGCTGACTGATTTGATTTGCTGGCCAGGTTTTTGCTGAGAATTTATCAAGAGAGTCAACGGTTGTCAGGTTACCCTGAATATTCAACAGGTTTGCAGTCTACTTGTATAATCAAGAAGTAGCTGGGCAACTATTTTAGCTACTTAGCTATTCTGCATTGTTTTTCATTTTAAAATTTTTGCATTCATTGAGAAAATAAATTCATGTGATAACAAATTCAATTATGATTTACTATTCACTTATTCTACATAGGCTAAATATTAGTTGCAAGGTAGATAATATGACAATGGGGAGGAAATGGTGAATAAGACATGACTTCTTTTTTTTTTTTTTTTTTTTTTTACAGGCAGAGTGAGAGAGAGAACAGAGAGAAAGGTCTTCCTTTTTCCATTGGTTCACCCCCGCAAGTGGCCGCTATGGCCGGTGCACTGCGGCCAGCGTGCTGCACTGCTCCTAAGCCAGGAGCCAGGTGTTTCCTTCTGGTCTCCCATGCAGGTGCAGGGCCCAAAGACCTAAGCCATCCTCCACTGCACTGCTGGGCCACAGCAGAGAGCTGGACTGGAAGAGGAGCAACCGGGACAGAACCGGCGCCCCAACGAGGACTAGAACCCAGGGTGCCAGCGCCACAGGCGGAGGATTAGCCTAGTGAGCCGCGGCACCGGCCAAGACATGACTTCTATCCTCACAATTATTTTTTTCATTTCTGCTTCAGTTTGCCTAACTCTTTCTTGTATAATCATAAATTTAGACAGAACCTCAAAGCTTCATAAAATATCATTTCCTTTAAATTTCTTAGTCATTCTACATTTCTGTGCTCACAATCCAGGAAAATGGCCCTAGTTGTCATACTTTCATGAAGTACACACTTGGTAAATCTATTCAGAGCACTGTGCTAGCAAAATTTAGATTTTGACAGATATTAGTCATTCATCATCTTATTGCAAGTGGACACAGGTAAATACAGAATTGTATCTAAATCATAGCAAACTCAATAAATGTATTAGAAAAACAAGCTTATTGACTCCTCATATCCCTTTATCTTTTTGTTTTTTAAGGGAAAGGGTTTACTGGGGGAAACCCGACAGACCTGAGGGAAGGGCTGAAGGAAAAGAGGGAGAAGGAGAGTGTAAGAGATCAGGAGAGAGAGTGAAAGAGAGAAATCAAGAGACAGAGAAAGAGTGAGAAAGAGAGACAGAGAGAGCCACGCATATCCCTTATCTTTTGAACTCTTTATTTAGTGGATCCATTAAGCCTTTGATTATAATGTAAATTTAAAATGCACAGGCTTTGTGGCAGAATGGATTACTGAAACACCAGCATCCTATATGTACCCCAGTTCCAGTCCTGGATGCTTCACTTCCAATCCAGCTCCTTGCTAATGGCCTGGGAAAGCAGTGAAAGAGGCCTCAGGTGCTTGGGTCCCTGCATTCATGTAGGAGATCTGGAAGTAGCTCCTGGCTTAGGCATGGCCCAGCCCTGGCTGTAGTGGCCATTTGGGGATGAACCAGCAGATGGAAGACCTCTTTCTGCTTCTCCCTCTCTCATTCTGTAACTCTGACTTTCAAATAAATTTTTTTTTAAAAATTCTATTTGAAAAAATATAAATTAAATATTAAATTAAATAATTAACATTTCTTTAAATAATAAAACCCAATGAGGTATAATTTAAAGCTACTTAGATGGCCAATTCAGTACTGCTTTTTGTTACTACTACATATTACACATCTATCAGAACATTTCATTCACTCTATCTAATACTTACCACTTGCTTCATCTTTATCCATTATTGAATGGTAGATGCAGTGAGTCTAAAACACAAAACCTGACTCCAGGCAGTTTCCCTGGAATGTTACCTATTTAAGTAATAGGAAGGCAATTCATGTTTAGTTGCCAATACTCACTGACATATCTGGAGCTTATGAGAGGAACCATTTGAGAGTTCCTTCAATTATTTACAAGCTAAATATGGACAACACACTTACCAAAGAGAAAAGGTTATAAGTGTCAAAACTGGGTTTAAAGAACCTGCTGGAAAAAATAGATGGAAAGTTGTATGTGGGAATATCCTATTTGTAACTCATATAAAATTCAATTATACATCCACCAGTGTGTGTTTAATAACTTCTAAGTATGAGAAAAACCTAGAAATTAGTGAAGGTTCTCTAGAGAAATAGAACTATGGGATGTGTATGAGAAAGGCAGAGAGAGAGAAGGAGATTATAAGGAATTAGCTTACTCTTTTCGTTTGATTATTGTTTATAGGCCTTGACTCTCTTCCTACTGGAGTATGGTGTTTTTACTTTTTATTTTTTGAGTTCTTTATTTAGTAAGGTCATTAAGCCATTGACTGTAATGCATGTTAAAAATATGTCATCTAAGCAACACTGTTTTAAAAAGAAAAAGAAAATGAACTAGCTCATGTGATTATTGAGGCTGAGAAGCCAGCAGGCCGGAGACCCAGGAGAGCCCATGGTATAGGTTCAGCCTGAATGCTAGGAGGCGTTAGACCCAAGAAGAGGCGATGTTTCAGTTCAAGTCTGAAGGCCATATAAAAAGCCCACATTCCAGTTTGAAGGCAGTCAGGGAGGAGGAATTCCCTCTTAGGCCCAGGAGGATCAGCCTTCTGCCTATTCGGCCATTCAACTGATTGGATGAATCCCACCAAATCAGGAAAGGAATCCACTTTACTCAAGGTATCAATTAACATTCAAGCTCATCAAAACCATCCTCACAGAAACACCCAGAATTATCTTGTACGCCCTACCCTGGTCTAGTTGACACAGAAATTAAGCATAACATAGAAAAATAAGACAGGAAAGAATTTATATTAAAAAAAAATCCTGGAGATAAAAGTGCCTTCCAAAACATAAAGAGATTCATTTCATTCAATTTCTCATTTATTTCTAAACCCATTGTGTGTTGGTGCCGGTGGAAACCTAGAAATCTGCTCAGCTTCTTCACATTGTATATGAAGAAACTGAGATGCGAGGAAGAAAAGTGAGCTGTGTAAGGTCACACAGCTCATTAACCATAAAACCAGAAGCATACAAATTCCATATTCTTTCTAAGGATACTCTAATAAAGCTTCCTACTTACGACCAGTATGCGTGGCATTGCGACTTGGATGAAATTCAAACAGTGTCAAGATTGCATTGGTAGATGAATTTCTGATACATGAGAGTCTGTTGTAGAAACATTTACTTCTGTACAGAGTCGTGCATTCAGATCTCGAAATACCTGGGGCACTGTTATTACCCAGCAGTATGGTCATTTGGAGTGAGTTCAAAACCTGCCCTGTTGCATCCTCTCATAAGGATTTCTGAGCAATGAAAATAAACCTTTAACACTGCTTGTGGAAATAAAGGGCATGATAAGGAAGTGTTTGTACTGGCTTGGAGCCAGAATGGACTGCTCATTGTTAAGCTTTGGTCACTGAGGAGACATCTCTTAATCTAACCAGCTTAGAAATGCACTGCTCTTTTCATATGTAGGCATAAAACATCGTTACTACATTCTCTAGAGGGGTGTGTGTGTGTGTGTGTGCATGCAGAGATACATAGAAGTGTGTGTGTGTGTGCATGATTATGAATAACCAACACTTTCTTATGTTTCTGAAATTGTTCAGTTTTCAATGCAAAATTTTGTATAGAGACATCCACATTTTCAGAAGAGTTTTGGATGTAATTAATTACAACACATCAGTGTGGAGGAACTGATGACAAGATGGTTTTCCTTAATGAATTACTCTCAAAATTTCCATAAGAAGGATCCCCAACTAGAGCATAATGAATTCCCCTGTCTCTTAGGACAAAGTGGCACAATTTTAGAAGTGGGCTGGTGAAATGAACCTGGCAGGGGGCGGTGTGAAGGGAGAGAAGCTAGAAGGAAGTGAGTTTCAACATCCCACTTCTACTCACTTGCCTGGCTTTCAGCTGCAGCTCCTGTACTTCAGGACTGAAGAAGGTGGGCTAGATTGTTGCAAGCCCCGGCGGGAGGGCTGCGAGCCTGAGATCAAGCAGCTGGAGTGTGTTGTGGTAGCTGCTTTCCTGTGCTAAGCTGATTTACTTGTTTAAGGTCTGACCTCATCATCCTGTCAGTATGGGTTCCCACCTACACTGTTAGCGACAGCTTTCTGCTTCAGCTGGAAGGCTAGAAGTATTCACAGTGTTCCATAGGCAGCGGGGGAGGGGAGAGAAAGCAAGCAAGACTGCTCTCCGGGCACTTGTGCTTTTGTTAGTTCTACGAAGAGGCAGAGAAACAAGAGATAACAAAGGCTCCGTTTCCTTTCTGTGAGAGAAGGCTTTTGTCTTGCCTCCTGCTACGATGTCAGTGTCCGGCAAGAAAGAGTTTGATGTGAAACAGATCCTCAGGCTACGCTGGAGGTGGTTTAGTCATCCTTCTCAAGGCTCGCCCAGCACTGGAAGCTGCCTTCAGCAGGAAGGATATGAGCATAGAGGGACCCCGGTTCAGGGCAGGTTGAAGAACCACTCTCGGGACAGAAACGGACTAAAGAAAAGCAGCAGTCCTGTCCACCACAATATACTGGCACCAGTGCCAGGACCGGCTCCTGCCCATCAAAGAGCCCTTCAGAATTGGCACCACCAAAACCTGCTAGAACATCTTCAAGCAAATGAAGATACTCCTAAAGCAGTTACAGGAGAGAATTTGTTCAAAGAAGCTTATGAAAAACGCTCACAAGATTTGGAGATGATGGCTGATGACAACATAGAAGATTCTTCAGCAAGGTAGGAGTTTTAGTCGTATCACTGAAAGCCATATAGCATAGGTCAACTTATCCTCGAAAATACTGTCTCACTTCGAGTTTAAATAGAAAGTGCTGTAATAAACTCCGAATTTGTATACAGCCAATCAGGGACTCCAAGGAACCCTCTTCTCTAAGTCTCTAAAGGAAAACTGAAATAATATATATGTTTTGATAATTGTTGGGAATTATTTTGGGGGTGCTGAGTTTCTTCTCCTAGTCCATCCCCATTCAGTTAAGAATTTTGTTTCAGTTCTAAGATATGTTTATTGTGATTAGCAATTTTCTGCAAATATCCTCTGTGGCTGAAAATGTTCAGATAGCTGCAATTCTTTGTACAAGTGTCGTGAGTCGTACAGAACTCTTTTTGACTTTGTGAGTCAGGCCAACTGTGACAAAATCAAAGTGCAACTGCTCAGCACATCTTTGTTCCTTAGTTCATCGTTGCCATGTGGACTTTTGAAACTATGCTGTATTGATATGAGAATATAGAACAGCTTCCTTTGACATTTGAGATTCCTTGCAACAAATCAGGAAGCTCTTCCACATAAAATAAGAAATAAAATGTTTCTTACAGCAATAAGATCCTAAAGTAGAAAATGGCACATAACAGCTATTTCAGGACATTAAAGTGCAATAAAAAGTGACAATATATTGTAGTTTGGGTAAAGCTTATTAAACATTGGATTTTACATTTACTGTTGTGTCCACTGGTATTGTTGGAGGGGAAGAAACTTATGTTCTGCTCTCTTATATTGCCAAATATAACTTAGCCTAGTGAATCTTTACTTCTCTGGCTTTTTTCTTTTTGACTATCAAAAATTTCTATATTCTCAAAATGCTTTAGGCACAATTGAAAATCTTCTTAATGTAACTAAATAGTAGAAATGGCACAGAAAAGGAAATATTTTTGATATGTTTCAAATCATACAATAGTTGACAGGAAATTATGCCAAATTATTTGGAAACCTGGATATTTGGCATACTGTGTCTCTCTAGGGGACAGAAACATTTGCCCCTTGACATAAGTTTTCCCAATATATCCTCCTTGTCTTACTGCCATAAGCTCAAACCATAATATTAAAGCAACATATAACCACATCATGGCAAAAGATGACTAAACTCTGCAAAATGATGTCTTTATAGAACTCATCTGTCTTGAACTGTAAACATGAAGATTTTGTGAATGACTTTGAGTGTAATATAAATTGTCCATAATATAGACTTAAGAATAAAGTGTGTATTTGTGAATTTCTGTACACATTTTGCTATCTCCTAGGGAAATGCTATGTATCTCTTGTGATTGAAAGTTGCATTTGGTACACATAACAGATTCTCAAATAACAGGCAGTCCATACTTTAAGATTTAGCAGATTTTTAAATTCTCTTTTCTCACCATGAGCAACAGTTTTTAAAAGTGCTGATGTTTGCCATTAATAAATACTTTTAACTCTGCTGTAGGGAAGTCTAAATTACCTACTGTACTCTTCTAACAAACATCTTTGAGAATCTGTGAATGAAATTTATAGCACATGTATATTAATTAGATAATAAGAGAAAATGCTGGATAAAACATCAAATTTAAAAATGTCACCAAGCAATTTTTAAGAAATATATTTCTCTTCTCTTTTGATTTCATGCTTGACTTTTTTCATGTTCTAAATAAATGTTCTATTAATTGTCCTACCTATGGTTTCTGTGGAAAGTTAATGACTTCTTAAAATAAGTACAGGAAGTGGTTTTATTGATATGCTAGGGATACGTTAGGCAGAAAGAAAGGGGTTCATTGAATATGTTATTAAGTGAAATGTGGTGGTTTGCTACCCTTTCATTGTCCATTCTAAATCTCCAGGTCTTGGTCAAGGAAAATTCTAGGAGTTTTCTGACATCTTGTTTCTCTAACATTTCTCTTCTCCAGTAATATTGGGGAGTACAAGGAATGGATCTGGCTAAGTTGACAGTAGCCTGTCATCCCTTCACTATAACACCTGTGGTTTTTACAAAAAGGAAAATTGTGGTCAATATGGAGAATTATCAAACTAGTGCAAGGTAAACTCTGACATTCAGGGTAAAGTAAGGGTCTTTATGCCACTCCACTTTCTACAAATATTACAGACAATGAATAGAGAAAGGACCAAATTACAAACATGCATCTAACAGAAAAACTCACTATTTGTCTTAAGAAGAATATTGAAACCAATATTAAAAGCATAATAATATCTTCCTTTGAGGATTTAAATGCAACTATACTCCTGTGTAATTGAATTATGTGTGTGCAATGCATTTAAAAACAGCTCTGTATCATGATTCCATGCTGTGAGAATGTACATCAATATGTCTAGTATCAGAAACTTGGGCTCAGTGATAGTTTCACTATTGTCCTAATTATCTACTAACTGCATCTTTACATCCCCATAACTACCTTACTTAAGAATCCTTTATTGCAGTCATAACATTCAAGATACAGAATATTTAATAGTGTGTTATGATTATGATTCCTACATAATAGAATATTTAGTCATGAAATTATATATATAAATATTTGAAATTTCTCATAAATAAATGATGGCATAAGGACACAAGTGGATGCCACATTTTTAATATTAAGATTTTGCTAAACATCATTTGCTAAAACAGACTTATTTCCTCATTGTGTTTGAAGACATAAAATAAAATGCAAATAAGTTGTTTATGGGTCCAGAACATAGCCTAGTATAAAATTGGAGGTTAACATAGTTGTTTAGTTTGCAGAAATTGAAGGGAGTGGGGAGCACGGGCTCATCCTACCTGTTGGGGCTTTAAGTTTTGGCAGAACCTAGTAACTGTGCTGATATGTGATTTTGTGTGTGTTTGCTAGACACATGGTTAGACAACACTCAAAATTCCCACTGCACTTGAGTCCTTTCCAATTTTAAAGTGAAATTTGCCTGGAAACAAATGCAGCTGTCACTGTGTATGTTGATATTCCAAAGAAAGGAGAATTGGATGAATAAGACTTAGAATTCACTAATTCATTCCAGAAATACTGAGCACCATTGTGTGCCAGGAACTCTTCTAGGTATTAGTGGTAAAACAAGATCAAATCAGAGAAGCTGTTTTCATGGAATACACATTCCACTGGGGAGAGAGGTGCAATAAAATGAACTAAAGCTACAATGTTATAGAGCTATAAATCACATGAATAAAAATTGGAGGAGAAGAGATTGATGGAAAAGGTGCTCCTTCAGATAGGAAAGACTTTTCTGGAAAAGTAATCTTAGAGCAGAGATTTAACTGAAATGAAGGAAGAAGACAAAATGTCTGACTCAAGAATTTGAAGCAAATGAGAGGTTACTGTTCCTGTGTACACCATTCATGGTTTTCTATACAAATTAATGTCATATGTCCCAGCACAGTCCATTGATTAATGTTCAAAACATCCTTTAACATAACTTATGAAGTAAAAAAATATGTCCTGCCTTGTTGTTCATTATAACAATTTTAGCATCACATGCATGGCCCGTGGTCACAGAGGTGACTTTCCAGTCATCCTGTAACCATGGTGCCATTTTGTCCTCTGGGGATCTGGCTATTCAGCTACTTGATCATACGCCTCATGGACAGGGGCCTATGCCCTTGTGAAAACAGGCACATGACAGTCTATTTGCTTTCTTAACCAAGCCATTCAGATAGGATCAAATGTACTGTGGGTCTTCATCCTCATTGCACACCCATCTGTGATATGGAATCTGCTTGGGAAATATTTACTCATAAGGGAAATCCTGAATCCAAATGAGTGAAACTTATTTGAAGACACTCTCTCATGCATTGGAAAGTGAACTCTGTGGATATTTTCAAGGAGATATTTGCAGAAAGAAAGAACAGCAATTTCAAGGGCCCTGAGATGGTAGTGAGCTTGATATGTTCAAACACAAGGGAGGATAGTACATCTGGAGTAGAGTGCTCAATAGAGTGGTAGGAGATGACTTTGGAAAGGTAACAATCATGAGACAACAGCATTACAGCATTAAAAGTAAGAAGAATCTTTTGATAAACACTGTGCCAGGCATGAAGCACTTTCCATATATTTTCTCATGCTGTCAAGGAAAATCTTTAATGTGAAAATAGCATTCACAACTACAGTTCATATTTATCCAGATATCATTTTGTTGGATGTCTGTTTGTTGCTTATCTTTATCCTAGGCAAAGAATAGTATTGTTTTCTAAAGTTCAGAGCTAGGCTTGCTTCACTTTACACTGCATTATTCATTAGAGACTGCGACTGCAAAGGAAAGAACAAGGAATAGACTACGGTTTTATGGTTGTTTATAGAAAGATTAAGATGAAAATATAGTTTAAAATGATTGAAAATGCAAATTTACAAAAGATTTTCATTTGATTTACTAAATTTAAAGCATATAAACAAATAATTTATATTTAATGCAATGATTCCTAGCCTTTTCAGAATTAGAATCTGTGTTGTTTGATTTTAATTTGTTGTTACTTCTGGCCTCATTCCTGAGAGTGAGATATCTTAGTCCTCATGTCTCATTCCTGAGAATGTGGTATCGCATACCAATTGACATCAGCATCTATTAGGATACATTTGATGGATGACAAATTGGGACTTTCTTCTATATATAGCAATCTGGTGATACTTTCGGGCCACATTTCTTTAAAATGTTTGTGGAAAATGGAATTAAAGTATGAGTTTATGTAGATGCAAATAATATTTCATATTTTCAGAAATTTTTTTCATTCAAAGCACTCATATTTTAATTCTTTGCCATGAACATTTTAAAGTACCTTTGTATTATAAATAAATACCTGTGACTATTATGTCTAATATTTGAAAGGCAAGTATCACTTCACTTCTACATGTGGATATAAAAATAAAGGACTAAAATATGTTGTGCTTTATAATATGACTCCAAGAATAACATAGTAATTATATTTAGCTGTTGCAAATTGTGCAACTACTCACTTAATACGCAAGTTTGAAAA